ATTAGAAAAAAGAGAAAAATAAAACAACTACGAAAAATTAGACAAGTACGTACTTCTTTTGGCTGGTGGTGTTGATGTTTACTTCATTCTATTTCGGACTCATTATCTGGATGTACTTGTATCGCCCAATGAGTTATCGTGCTCTCCCTGAGACAAAAATCCATCACCCACTAGGTTGAATGCTGAAATGAAAAAAATACAAGCTAACTTAAGTGTTTCTACTCCGTCTTTAATTTTATTGTACACCTGAAGAAGACTTGTCCTCTCTGTTAGTTTATTTCTTTATGTAGTATACGCCACAATGGAGGATGGAATTGCTTCGATCTACGACAAAAGTCTGTAACCGAGTGCAAGGGTGCTGAGTTGAAAGTGATTTTCAAGTTTAGATAATCTACAATGGGGTTCATTAGATCGCTGGAATACTTCACATAATTTCTAATAAGAAAATATCTCCTACTTAAAGATATGCTGTCTACTGAATATTCAGTGGGAATAAATTCCATCACAAAATGTATTATTTATTGTCCATACCATAACTACATGTGAGTGGTATTCATAGGATACTGTTTTAGAATGTTAGGTACTTATCGAAAGGTGGACAGTACACAAATATACACATCTGAATTACACTTATTCGCCGTCACACTGTTTATTTTGGTGAGGTGACTCGCCTCAGAAATAAGGTACGAATAAGCATATAGTTCCTCAACACTACAGACATACTTTCCTGATTAGTGCCATACTATAGTGTCGATTGATTCCTAACACCAGTAACTAATATAATGTCTCAACATTCCCGGATTAAAAACTACTTTACATATTCATGTTACATTCGTTTTGATGCGAAAAAGCCACCTTCTGATGCTATTCCTGTTAATTCCTAGTATTCTTCTGAGCAGAAAAAAGAAAGGATTCGTAGCCATTTCATCTGCCTAAAAAGATACCCTGACTTTTTACAAATCTTTCTTTTCAGAGAGACATTTATCATATTCCTGATTCAGTCTCAATTCCGCAAGCGTGTGAATTTATTAAAAGGTATGGAATTAGATGATTGTCTCTGAAGGTACCTAAGGAACTGGACTTAATTGTTACACGCCACACATTTTATTAAACTAGCATGAGGAAAACACAGAATTCATCAAAGTTACTTTCTCAAGAGAAATATGATTTGTAGTCAAATAAATTGAGATTTTCGCGCCTTATAAAATCAATTCAAGATTGTTTAATTTATCCCTGAATCAGTTTATAATGTTAAAAACCTGCTTACATTTCGATACAACATTGTAATGAAACGATAAAAGCAATCGAATGAACTATGCCAATTCATTTGTATGCCTTTATACATTGTTTTAGTGCATGCTGTGATGCTGTCAACAATCAATTTCAATCATTTTAAAAAAAACCTCCTTCAAAGACATCAAAAATTTTAATTTTTCATATAATACAATAAGCGGCATTTTATAATATTTTCCTTTGCAAAACTTACATTATTTTGTGATACTGAACGAATATGAATTGATTTATGATGAATAGGTTTCACTACAGTCTCTGAAAAATACGTATTTCTCACTCTGATTGCATCGAATTTATGTCGGCATTAAGAATGAATATTCATTTCTTGAAGGATGAATTTATACAGTCACCTATGTCAAGTAGTTAATTTCAAGGTAGACTTCTTCACGAGCAGATACTAATTAGAGAATAATTGACCGTTGTGCGATACATTGAGTTTAGAATTCACTGGTCACTGTCTGAATGATAATTAGGATTTCCTTGTAACTTGAATCCTTAGTGGGATAGTGAGTGTGTACACTGCAGAGATGTCTTAAACTAGAACTTAATACCTGACCAGTCCTTCTTGCTTCTTATTAATGCTTTGAGTGACGTTGGTTTGTCATGTGGTCACCATTGAACTAGTTTGCTTACTAAAGAAACTGCATATTTAGTACTTTATCACTAAATGATTATTGTTTGTTACTTGTTGAATTCAGTAAGTGAATTTAATAAACACAATAATTCCTACTGGAAAATAATGTTTTATTGCTTATTTTTTTCATAGTTCCCTCTTAATATTTTGTAATTCAATAATTTTTTGTCATCTAAATTGGTAGACGGCATCTAGACTCCCATCAAAGGATTTACTAACAAGCTTTAATATGATTTTCCGAAAACTGTATCTCAAAACAAAATTTAAGCATTATCTGTCAGTCATAATAATAATAATAAGTCTCAGGTCCAGTGCCTAAGAGGAACATGCGTGAGCACTACTGAGGAATTCTAAAATAAGAATAAACAACTATCTATCTAGTGTTCCTTGGTTTTCAGTAATGTTGGTTCACAGCACAATATACATTGATAATAATAATATTCCTAATTAGGAGAAAATAGTTTTAGTTGTAATCATGGTTAGATGTCGAATGGTAACTAATTACGTTATGCAGTACACACAACCCTTCAAGGAATGTAAACTGCGTAAAATCAATAAGATGAGAACAGACATAAAACGCTAAATAAAAAGCTGAGAAGCTGAACAAGATGAAGTGTTTTATAATACAAAAAAGGGTTTTGATTAAATGACTAGTGGTGACAGACAAGTTAAATACGCCCGAGAAATGTTCATAGAGAAAATATTAACAAAATTAATAGTACACATTATCTTGATGAAGTGGAAAAATAAATAAATTTTATGTAAACATATTTACTTTCCGATGGCAATCACATTGTTCTTGTACTGCACGTTGTATCAGCTTGGTAGAGTTTAGTGTATAATCAGCTGTCTATTGTATAATACTCCAACAGAATAGTTCTTGAATGGTTCCTTCTTTGTTTATGTGTTTAAATTATATAGCCCTGTGTTCATTGTTTTTATTATTATGTATCCATGATCTACTTCATTGTTCTGATTTTTAATCATAAGTTCGAATCTGGTTCAGGGTTTTTGATCAGCTGCTACGTGATAGATACGACTGTCATATACACTTAACTACTACTAGTTAATCTTTGAGACATCTGTAGAATAGCATTCAACGTTAACTGTTAAAAGAATAGTTATGCATTCACTCAACATTCAGTGCTATTTAATAGAGTGTATCTAAATTGATTAGTCATTATAAGAGTCACACAGTCTCATAAGTCTGGTCTTTGGTGGTGACGGAAATCTTTCATTCAAGTTTTTCATGTAAACCGAGATAAATGTTCACCACAGAACACTTTAAAGTGATTGCAGTTGGTTAGAGACAATCTCTAGGAATTCATGAACATAGGTTTCGCGTCTGCTGTAACCCTACAAAATGGTACATATCCGAACATGATGGAACTGGTGCCCTCTTTGAAATTTGAAGCTGTAGTTAGAGACATTGTTACTAACCTATTCGTGCAGAGACTGACCTCTGTAATGGTAGGATGGATGATGTGAGTTCAGATCATCCAGAAAGCAAAAGTTCATTCGAGTATGAAGATACACGTGTTGATGTGTGTTGGGGGAAACTTGCCAATTGCTGTTAACCTCCAAACAATAATGCCCATCCATTACTAATGTACTAATAAAAATATCCCCTGAGTGATTGAGATCACTGCTGATAAAGCCTAATTTTCAAATATTAATTGGTTTTATATAGGCTACCCAAATAGTAGAAACGTTCCATTGTCAGTTTACTCGAAATTTTGAACTGTTTCCATCAGTATTTAGTAGCTCATAAGTGAACAAATGTCTCTCATTGAGATCACTTATAGGTAAAAAACTAAGTACATAAAAGACGAGATGAGTATGATGAATGATAACAGAATCAAACAGGAAATTAATTTACTCATGAGAATACTTATCTTCATCTATAAATACGCACTTATCCTCAACACTTTTATTGTTGAAAATGATATTGGCAAGAGGTTCATTTTATTGTAGTGGGTATTGAAAAGCAAAAAGATTGTTCGATAACGGTATAGTTAGCGTATATATTAGCCTTCATAGGAAATGTACTTAACTGAGAAAATAATAGTTTAACCAAATCAGAATGAAATATACTTTTAGGATCGATACTGTGTAGGCTAGTAGGCATGTTTAGCCAACTAGAGAACATAGATAGATAACAGTATATAACACGATACACTGTCACTTGACTTGAGAGCTTGCCTTCATCCCCTCAGCCTAACTAATTAACTTCACCAGTGCTTCTGTTGTCTAGTAATTTTGTACGATGATTAACCCTCCCCTAAAGTAAATTATGTTGAAGAATAATTACTTTTTGCACTCCAGAAGTCGACAGCCGTGATCCTCGCTGTTATGTTAAGTAAGGCAGTGAAGATCAGAAATCAAAATCTATTTATCACCACCGATCATAATAGTTAGCGAAATGGTAAATTAGTTTTAAAAGATGGGTTTCACTAACTGAATAGTGAATCTAACAAGCGTTAGCTGGGATACTTATGAGACCATGAGAATGAGTCACTGATGAGTCGTGTATCACATAGAAACACTTTTACAGTTCCTCTTAAATTTTGATAGCTTTTGTGTTGATAACGATTCATAAAGACAATTCCTGTGAAATTAGGCATTTTAGCACAAAATAACTTTCTAAGGGAATAATAGATGGTCACTTTTCCATTGCACTAGTGATTCATTGGTACAATTCTCGTCGACTATGCAAGTGGTCCGATTGCCTATCTGCGCACTGCTAGACCACACCCAGTCGGTAGTAAGCCCGGTAAAGAGGGAAGTTTGGGCTTAAGACTAGTAACCCCAACCAGTAAAAGGACACCACTGCTACCGAAAATTCAAACCTCAAGCTTGAAGGCTTGCATTCTCCTCGGGACGCAGAGAAGTTGAAGAAAGTTCTCTTAATAATAACTGTATATGAAAGGTTTCAGTAAAATATACTCTCACCGCCAGTAATTTCATATGCAATACCTCTTTGGTTTCAGCTTCTCAAGTGAATCTCTAACATGCAAAGAAAATATTTTCTCTTAAAAACTCATGTTCTCAATTTTATTCTTATTTTAATTAGGAGTTTATCGGTCAATTACAGAGGGGTAATAAAAGAAACAGTCGAACAAGAGAATCGATACACGAATCACTGGAACGATTACCTACACTAGAAGATGAGGGTAAGAAGTCTGCCTCATCATCAGTGACATCATCAGGACAACATTTTCATCATGACAAATCTGAGGGTCTTTTGAGGAATTCATTTTCACCAGCTGACTTTTCGTCAATCTCACCTAGACACAGTACTGCCACTAGTGGAATCAGTGGGAAAAAGAATAAAATGTGAGCTTCATTTTGTTTGCCTTTAAATACTTTTATTCTTTTTAATAATGGAGAAGACTGCCATAATGTCTATAAGGACAGATTACGAAGGTCCCTAACATTTGACTCGGTACCGCTCGCTTAAAATTACCAGTCATTCGGTATTAAGGGAGTTTAGTTCTTCATCAACTATTGCCTAGTAAGTGTGTACCTCTGCTTGACTTTTCCGTTGACATTTAGAAGCATCACTGCTTTTCTGAAGGAGTTTCTCCATATACTACTTGTATCTATTCATTTTCAGTACAGATTACAGCTGCAAACGTGCTTTATTCGTATCAGTTAGAAGAAAATAAGGATTTTAATCTTTCTGCCAGTTAACTCCTGATGTACATATAAACAAAGCAAAAAAGTGCTGATGTATCATTTAACGCAGTAACTAGATCGACAGATTTGAGTCATTTTAATCTTAAATGCATAAATATATTTTCCCTAACTTACTATTATTTTGAGCAGATTTCTTCTTTATATCTCGTTGGAGGAACTTCTTTAATATGCAGTTATAAATTACTATTAATGTGTTTGTAGGTCAACTGATTTGTGATAAAGGGTGATAGCTTATAAGTATGCATGTGTCTAATTACCTGTAGCTGTAAAAAGTCGGTGGAACTGACGTCTTTTCAAAAATCAGAGACCTCGCCACGGTTCAGAAACGATTAGCCTCCTGTAAGACAAAGATGCACAAATTAAATGAGTGACTCATACCCTGTCATTTAATTCAAAATTTTGTTAGCTTTCTATCTATTAAGAGAACCATTGAAAATCAGGACCATGGAAGTGACATTTATACCTATCTTTGAATTTTTCAGTTGTCCTAACTCATCATCTGGCATTATAAAGCCTTCTGAACACGTTAACATTTACTAGCTGTATCAAAGTCAAATTCCTACAGACCTTCAACACGTTCTGTTGAACACTGTTCCTCTGTTAGCTTCACTGGTCAAATAACTGTTGGTCCCTACTACCCAAAGTTCATAATGTAAAATGGTATAGCACTCTTAATCGTTTCCTGGCTTTCAATGGCCAATTAACTGATGTCGCCTAATCAAAATATCTATCAACCCAACGTTTGCAAATCTAACATAAGACTATAATTTTTTAACTGAAATGAACGTTATTTTCTCTTTTTACTGTCTTTTATTCTGTCAGAGGCTTTCAATTCTTTCGACCTAAACCAGCTGTACAGTCTGGAGCTAAATTGGTTCAAGTCAAAGAACTGAAACGTATGATACGTGCTGGTAAACCAAGCTATGAACAAATACACAATTGGGGTCATTCATTTGAAGCCTTACTTAATGATAAATGTAAGTTATCGGTAACAAATTATTCAAAAGGTTTAAGAAAAAGCAGCCGATATTCAAGTAGATGACTTAAAAGTGACAATACAACGCCTAATAGACACTGGTTAAGTAGTATATCAGATATCAGTGTTATTCTGTGTCTTTATTTTCCCCTGAGTTTTATCTGTGAAAGTATCACTGTTCTATAGCAAAACCTAATGACACTTTAAGGGATTTTAAAATCCATGGAAATGGTTTGCATTCCCTACGTTTTGAGCGGAACATAGGGCTTGAAGCTTTGAAATTTTAATAGAAGTGTCGGTTATTGTAGAGGGTGACGTTGTTAGCCTCACACTCAGCCTCTCTCTTTCCAAGGTGGTAAGCTGGGGAGGATTCAAAAGTGAATCACCTGGAAACTAAATCCGGGTTAGTTGCGTGGTTGTCTGGCATTCTACCAGTGAACCACTAACTCAAAGATTGTATGGAAAACCAGGGAGCAATGGTCATCGGTTTAACCGTGTTTTGGGAAATCAGCGACGCGTGAATTCTAATTTCTGTCAATCACTGATATGGCGCAACCACTAGCTAGTGTAGTCGAGGAACATCCACCTCACATCCAAAATTCTCGTCCCAGAAGGCCAGGAACATCTTTCCAGTCCTCCTTGGTTTCCAGTGACTCTGCAAATGATGTCGGTTTGGGATGAGGTCTACATTAAAATATTGTTAACGCGAGTAAATTATTTGATATCGTCCAACCATCGAATCACTTATGTGTTTTCAAGACGATTTCTAATTTCCTTTTGTTCAAGCTGTATAGGATTTGAAGCTTCTATTTCAGTTGTGCAGAGGTGGCCCTTCACTGAGGAATATTCATGAGACGGGCAAAACCTTTGACTCAAACACAGCTCTCCATATATACAGCAAAGAAAGCAACAACAGGTAGTGACATTGTAGAAAATTAAGAGCCATCCGACAGCCGAAACCTTACTTGTAGTCACTCATTATGCACTTCGTTGTTAATGTGATATTTCTCCCCTACTAACGTTAAGCAGCCGAGTTCAGTTCTTTCATCTTATCACTTTGTGTACTAGCCTAATACCCCCCTCTAATTTTTGAGAGTTTTCATAAATTTTCATAAATTGATTACCTGGTAAGGAACCAGTTGTCGCATTATGGTTAGTGTGCTGGTAGTTGTGACTCACATCCTGTTTTCTGTGGCAGTTTCAGTCTTCATCGAATGTTTCGGTATCCGTCTGTCAATGCAGGACTATCTCAGGTAGTCGCATCAAAACTTATTTTATTTAACTGTGCAGTACAGTACAGTTTCATTGAGTACCGTTTTATTGATAGAAAAACATTTAACCAACCTATCATTCCGTGGTGGGAAAGCGGTATTGTCTATCTTTATATTATTGTCTCGTTTGGTTCCTAGAGGAACACAGGCCTTCAGCCGCACGTCTCCATTGTGCTTGGCTCCCTTTCGACGCTTTCTCCTGCCTCCACATCTACCCACATACTTTCGCCTCCTCTTCGTATGACCCGTTCCATGTCACCCTCGCACAGACGACCAACTCGCCGTTTTACATTGGTGTCCCACTCCAGAGCCTGTTATGTGATGTCACTTGACGGTTTGTTTTCTCTGAGTATAGCCATTCTACATTCATTTCTTTCTGCGTATTTGTTGCACAATCGGTTCTTGTAGGGTTGGTTTGCTCCCAGAGATCCCTCTTACTTCTCTTTTGTGGCCATCTAATCTTGAATATTGAGCAAAGAAAGCCAATGGTGAAGGTCTGTAGTTTGTTCGGAGTGCCCTTCGTGACTCACCAAGTCTCTGATCCGCATAGTAGCACTGACTACACATTGGAGTTGAAAATCCGGATCTTATTTTTCGTGCTGAGTGCGGTATTCTGTATTAGGATAATATACAATGAATACTAAGCGAATCACAAACCTTGCCATCACATCATAACTGGTGTTATATTTTTTTATATTCTTCTCAGTACGTTTTATTATTCAGGAGCTTTCTTACTGACATACAAATGCCCTGATGAGCAAACTACTCATATTTACCAGTAAGTAGCAAGAACAACAATACCACTTCTCCGAAGTTCCAGTTACCCTTCAACTTACAGCATTCCTCATCACCTTAAATTACGACCGAAATTGCTGAGTACCACCAGATAGATTGGTTTTCTCGTTTTTTCGTAGGCAGATATCTTCACAAGACCTACATCGCTCCAAGTACCCCAGAGGTCCGTGAATGCTTACTTGCCTAAAACTGGTAGCCTAAAATGCGAAAGCCGGTGCAGGTCCTTAAGAATATATAACATCTATTTAGAAGACGATAAACATCTGACGGCTTACATTGTCTGAGTGTGGCTTGTGCATCTATCAGTCGATCTCACTTTCTTAACAACTGTCAACCCAATAAATTTCTTCCATCAAACAATTTATTTATTACCGTATAGAACAAATGAAATATCCTCAGATTGGCGGACTCATATGGGTGTAATCTTTGTTAACTGAAGGAGGAATAAAAAGTAAAATCATAACATAATTTTATCGAACAACCTCTGGTATACATCAAAATGTATTTAGCAAATGCTATTTCTAATAGATAAGACTGCATTTAATATGTAATAAGAATTTACATCGTATTTCAGTCAACACTGTTATGTGTTTAAAGGAAGACAGGAGTGAGAACAAGCTGTCTACCAGCATCATGGGTGATCGCTATGATAGTAGTGAAGTGGACCATAAAGTAGGCTATAGAGGCGAAAAGACCGGAATATGCTGAAGTAACTCAAAGACCCATAATATGTGAATTTTTCCTGATGATTTATGTCATATGTCATATAAACTCGAAGATATACAGTTGAAGACCAACAATTCTGTAGAAAAGACAGCAAAGAAAGCAATTCGTTAATAAACATAGAGAAGAAAGAAGTCGTCAAGACGCTCAGTCAACAACAATAATTCCCAGTCACTATCAGCAGTAGAAATTTCAAGGAAGTTACTTTTTTTAATTACCTGATGTCAAGGCGAAAATCAAATAAAGGAAAGTGGAGTTCAACACTCTGAAATCAGTGTGTAGATCGACAGAGAAATAAGACTTCAGTCTTTAACATCAATATCAAGTCAGTACTTTTATCGAAAGATAATGAAAGTAAGATGACCAGCTGGCCGGAAAAAATAATCGTCAAGGATTTCTGACAGCAAACCAGTGAATAACATATTCCATTGCAAAGCAAATAAGCCAAAAGAAATGGGGAGGGATTGAACATGCTCTGCAGAGAAAGTGGAGTGACATCATACGCTAGTCCTTCGAATGGAATCCGAACAGAAAGTGACTGGTAGGGGTGCCGAAAGTTACACAGCAGAAAATATGTGAAAACAAATTGAAAATTTGTGGCAGTCGTTGAGCCAGAATACCGGGTGAATTGGAAATTATCCACTGGATCCTTTTATTCAACTTGGAACCCTAGGAGTGATCTTAATATCAAAGTCTATGTCACTGGAGATTATAACTAGAGGTTCCTGAACTAACGGCATGACACTCTACTATCTGAGCTACATGACAGTTTCTAACATGGTCATGATACGCGACTGTCATATAACAGAATTATACGTTGCCCTCTATTTATCATCAAACTTGTTAGTTACCAAGGCGGATTTTTCCTAACAGTAATAACTAAAATAAATTACGGATTTGATCACTGACTGATATTAGTCATAGAACCACTAAAACTATGGGGTATTAAACAGTCGTTTCGTCTTAGTTCGGGACTCTCTAGCAGTAAGCACCCAGCAGGGTTCAAACACTGATGATCAGACCTGTAACCAAACAAATCCTCACAAACCAATACTTGAAAGAAATTAATAAAAATCACATTACAATTTTGTGATGTTCTTGTACAACTTTTATGAAAGCTATTTACTTTTTCAATAACATTAAACCAGTTACTTTTGAAAATAAGAATAATAAAAGTAAATTTATTTCTGAACTTTTGAATGAAAAACATTTCAAAATTGAAAATATTTACATATTTTCCAGTGTTTTTGCCTTTCTTTCTTATATTACTGTTGAAACAGCTTTCAATGAAACCTATTATTATTATTACTATTGTTCCTCATTATTTTGATTTTGTCTTTCTAGATGGACTTGCTTTATTCAAAGATTTCCTCAGTACTGAATTCAGTGATGAGAATATTGAATTTTGGATTGCCTGTCAAGATTACAAGCATACCACAAATCCTAAGAAGTTAGCTATGAAGGCTAATCAAATCTATACAGAATTTATTGCAGTTCAAGCTAATCGTGAAGTAAGCGACTTCATTGTTTTAATATGCGTGCTCACATATACAAAGGGATATGCATACATCTGAGTAGGCAATTACGTGTTTAAGTATTTCTATTGGTAACTTTATACGATACACGATAGTAGTTTTTGATTGGACACTAGTAACTAGTGTGATGTGTCTAGTCCTTTCTTCACTGCAGACTGAATTCTATCAGTCAGCTTTGTAATGTAGCCACCATTCTAGGTAGCTCGCCACCATGGCGCACATTGATTTTGTGATATTAGATGATGAGTGCCAATTAGCACGAAACCTAGGTCCAAGGCTTCCTGACAATCGCCTCCAACCATCTAATGTTATCAAACATGACAGTAGTATTTATCAACTAAATCTGGGTTCAGCTTCTGACTTCTTACTCACTAGTCATTTAACGTGCACTGGAAAATAAAAAATTAATTTACTGAAAATGTTTGGGACTAATTTCACCCCTGATTACCATCATATACAGGTTCATCGAAGACTTAAGACTACTTACTGAATAGCTGTTTTGTTTCGAAGCGGATACTTATTTGACATAGTGCACCTTAAAGTCAAATACGCATATGATTCAACGCCGAAAAATTCCAATCCCATTAAAGGCGATATCTACTGTAATCACATAACTTGTCAATACCTGTTACACACTTAAGAGTATACTCAACAATCGACTTGTCAGTAAAACCACTAAAGTTTATTTCGGAAGAATGTCAGCAGTAGGTAATTTCACAGATCTACACGGGCCAACTGTTCTTTTTACTTGCTGCTGTTGTAACATCTCATCTGGATGATGATCTGATTGTCAAGCTTTTCAAATCTTCAAAAAACAGACACCGACTTCAAAGCTAATTTCACCTTTGTATCTAGCCATTGTATCATAGAAATATGAGTTTGCTTCATTTTGCCACTAAATTCTTCACTTGATATAATTAGAGACTGAAAGCATAATTAATTAAAATCACTTTTCTAAATGCCTGCAGCTAGGAGATTATCGTCGACTAAAAACTTAACAGTGTCTTCAATATTACCGATCCAAGCTTACTGACTAGAATACCAAAGTGATAACTTCATAAGTCAAAACGACTAGAGAAGAGATTTTGTTAGCTATTCGTCAGATCAGAGTGGTAGAGCAGTTGGCGGAGTATCAGTTAGGTAATTCACACAGCACTGACTCAAAACAATCATTAAGACACATTTAGTTTTCAAATCAAATGATCATTTTTTTGCCAAATTTTCACTCAGCGCGATAAACTATGTTTCTCTGTATAATATATGCGTATGTATATATTGATCGCCGTGCATTATCAGTGGAATACAGAGGTCTGAGCTTTGAAGTTTCATAATCAGTGGTGTTACGTTTTACCGGGTGACGTCATTAACTACACGCGCAAAATTCACGCATCATCAAGCTTAACACCAGCCAAGCGAGACTGAATAGAGAGTTTGATGGAAATTTAAGACAAAGAGCCTAAGTGGTTGCCGCGCATTCTAACAGTGAAACACTTAAGAAACACCCCTAATTTTGAAGCGTTTGTGCAGGTGAACTTGTATTCCTGAACTGGGAAATAGCAAAAATATATATATCAGTCTTAGGTAAGGATGTAAGGCTTCTCAAATATGTTAAGGTATATACTAACTCTTTACATGAGCATTTGTCATTTACTCAGCATAGTAACAATTTCAAGGTTAAACACTGACCACTTGATAAACCATATCAATTTCAAGTAACCACCCCATTTCTGATGCTGCTTCACGTTCTATTCAGCTGAGTATTTTTATTAAGGTGTCATTTGACGTAATTTCTCCCCACTGAAGTTTTCTGATTAGCAAGCCTGTAGAACTCCTAGATCACCTCAAATCAGTTCATAGAGGACCAAGATAGTCAGCCTCACAATCTGGTGGCCAAGTCATAACTACTTAACTCAGAGAGCTCTATCATCACTAATTATTAGACAGAGAAGTATCATCCACCACCTAGCAACGAATCACAGATTGAATGCCTTCTCCAATATGCATTAAACACTAATAATTGGTTATGGAGGAATATTTTGAAGCTGTCGTCATCATAAAGTTCTTCCGTTCACTCATAAAACAATTAAAATGAGGAAATTAAGCAAACACACTACAATATGCATCACTTGTAAATAGCCTGTATTACTTGTTTCTTGAAATATGCAGTCTGGAAAGACACTGATTACCCAAAAGCACATACCTAGTTCAGCATATAGCTGACACAAGAAGACAAATATCTGTACAATATCTAGTGTTATGAATAACCTTTTCTATCAGTTACTATTTTCCATTTAATTACTGACTGCTATGCACAGGTGTAACCCGAGTTCTCAGGCCATTTTCACCTGTGAAATACTTCCACACAATCTCTTAGTTAAGTGAATATTTACCATTACACCGCTTAGCTTGTCAGATAACTAAAAAGCTGTTTTAAAAGCGTCCAGTTGTCAGAACAACACTGTGGCTAAATTTCCACTATCTTTAACTCCTAAATAACATCCCTGTCAACCTGCATTTTTAAAAACCTTATCACACAAAGATTGATGCAGAAGTTGAATTACGTGTTAGACATTATTTGATATAGACACTCAGTTATTTATATATGAATATATGAGGCCTGATCCACATCTTTCGCTTCGTCTAACTAGCAAGAGACAAATGATTATGATTCCAACCTTTGAGAAAATATGACTTTTTAGAATTTTTGAATACACTATCTTGTTAACAGATGACCAACATTGATTCCTGTATGTATAAGGTTATTTAGTGTGATCTGAACATGGAACAGATGCTTAAGTGACTCAAAGAGGGTATTATTTAGAGGTTTACACAAATCAGTGAATTTCAAACTTCTTGGATTCTTGTATAAGCCGTTAATTGTTACCTATTGTGATTGGCGTTTTTATTTTGTCACAGTACTGTTCATCACTTCTGTCTCACCATTAGACAATTCCCAGTGAAAACGCTATTTCCAACAGACATATTAGAATTTTATTTGTAAGTAGACTAATTCACTACTAGTGATCCAGACCCACTACGCGATTTCTGACTCTCTGTTTAAATGTATGCCTAACTGTATTTTCACACAGGTCAGTAAACAAGTTCCATCATCTCGAAGCTCTTGTCGACAGTCGTCACCTCATGTCTTAATCGGCCGCAAACTAATCGTCCCACATAAACTAGTACTAAGATAAATCATTTGAATAGTACTTATTATTAACACCTACTTAAACAAACTGGCAATAAATAGATTAACATTCTGGGTGACAGAGAACTTTAAGAAAAATAATAACTTTAATCAAGGCAGGATTCAAGATACCTGCCTCCTGATTATCACTCTGATGTTTCGACAAGTGAGTCTTGCTATCACTGTGCCAACCAAGTCATTATTTCACTGCAGTCGCCAACGCTAGAGCCCAAATTTCATATATATGAATGATACATTACTTTATGTGTGGCTTCACACTAGGTAGCTCTCAGTGTAAGTCTTCCCCTGTCTATTCATAAAATAGCGATTAAAAGGGGAGGAGATTGGTAACAGATGACGAGATAATCTGAGTTAGCCTTGGCTTTGTAATTTGTCATCAATTGAATGACTAATGATTTCATGAGAAATAATAGTGTTTAACGTTAAAAAATTAACTTAACATAAGTAGTGTATGGACTTCCGTAAGGATTTAAAGAATAAGGCAAATAGGTTTCTTCTTTTTATCTTGTTTTCTTGATTTATAAATAACTAGCTTATATTTGAACTTCCGGATTAATGATATACGTTGCAATTTTGATTTGGGAACCCTCCAAAAATATACCAATGACAATAAAGTTATTGGACGGGAAGATAAAGCGCTAATCATATATATATATATGGTATTTATGGAAAAACAGGTTAGTAAATAGTTAGATTACTACGATATGATCAAACACTGTTTTTTATGGCCTAACAGATGAATGGATATTTTAGTTGATTACTATTTACGTAGATTGAATAGATTCACATTTTAGATTAGAACTTAGCACAAACTGAGGGTAAAGTTCAACTTCAGATACCCAAGAAGCGCTGATACACCGGTGGTCTTGGAACAAACGATTGCGTTGTAAAGCAAGGCTCAATTATTATTATTATTGTATCCTTTAGTTCCTAGAGGAGCATAGGGCTTCAGCTGCGCACCTCCATTGCCTTCGGTTTTCTGACAACTTTTTCACCCTGCTCCAGGTCTGTCCACATGCTTTCATCTCCTCCTCGCATGACCTCCTCCAAGTCACCCTTGCACTGACGACCAACTCGCCGCCTTCCTTTCGGGTTCCACTCGAGGGCTTGTCTAGTGATGTCACTTGATGGTTTCCTCAGCGTATGGCCAATCCATCTCCAATTCTTTCTGCCTATTTGTTTCACAATCGGTTTCTGATTGGTTCGCTCGCAGAGATCCTTGATGCTGATCTATTCTAGCCGGCCATCTGATCTTGAGTATTGAGCGAAGAAAGCTGTTGATGAAGGTCTGAAGTTTGTTTGAGGTGTTCTTTATGACGCGCAGTGGAAGTCTCTGATCCGTATAGTAGCACTGACTGACTTTACATTGGAGTTGAAAATCCGGATCTTATTTTTGATGCCGAGCAGTGCTGTTGACCTCCACACAGATTTGAGAGTAATGAAAGCTTGTCTTACTTTTCCGATTCTGGCTTTGATATCCTCGTCAGTTCCGCCTGTAGTTGAGACGATGCTTCCCAGGTAGGTGAAGGAGGCTGTTTCTTTCAGGTTCTTCCCACTTATGCTGATTGTTGTCTGTTGTAAAGCAAGGCTCAATAATTTCCGCAAACTTAATCTATTCCCACCTTAACCATAATCAACTGCTAACCCTAATTAGGTTGACCTAACCGTTACCTGTCACTGGCCTATATGTAACCCTAGTGCCTCCTTATCCTAACCTAAAACAGACTAGATATATTGTTGTAATACCATTCATCACTTTTGTTTCATG